CCCCCAAAACCCCAAAACCCCAAAACCCCAATTGGGGTAAAAAGAATTGAACTAGGAGTTTTAGAGAGCTTGAAAAATACGTTCCTGACGTTAATTTATTTTAGTTTCATCCACATTCTTGGTGCTTGCCTCCACATATGTAACAGAACTCATATTTGCATCTGCAAGTGATGTGGTCACATCCTTCGGTCTTTTGGACCCAAAACTTGCATTGGGTGCATTGTTGAAGCTTACTCTCTTTGGCTAACGAATAGAACGTCATGTCATCAGGATTAGCTTCTTTAATTTTTAAAAATTCTTCACATGTAAATCCTTCATGCCAATTAGTTTTGCATCTCAAACAGTGAGTTTGAGCGCACACAGGACATTCTAACTTGCTTGGTCCTTTTCCAGCATCCCATTCGATCACATTGATGCAATCAGGACTTGGGCAGAAATGGTAGAAGGTTGAGTTTTGTTCAACGAATAACTCTAACTGGAACCTTTCCAATTTCTGATGAAACTCAAGCTCGATAAGACTTCTGATTTCGGTATCAGGGATCTGTTTCCTACATTCTTGAAGAGGACACTTGACTGGGAGAAGCTTTGAGTCTATCTGCAGTTTGATGTACACCTGCAGTCATTCAGTATGGAACATATGTCCACACTCAATGAGAGCAAGGTCCTTCATGTGGATGCTTTCTAGTCAAATCAGGCATTCAGAGAGAAGGTCCTCTTCGAGGACCTTTTCATTATCCTGAGTTAGAGCAAGCTGTTTAAAAGATACTATCTCATTTTCTTCAGAATAGTACTTCTGAGAGACAAGAGTAATCTCTGAAGTGGCATCAGAGAAATAAATTGGATATGTGGATGTGTTCTCCATCCCCTTGCGAGGTGCAGGAGTCATTGATTCTTTAAGCTCTGGTAAGGTTCCCAGAATTCTTCTGGTTATTTCAAAGATTAAAGCTTCAAAAAGGATTGAATTCGGTAAAGGCTTCGCTCTAAATGTTGAGGTTAGGTACTTAAAATCGCAAGAGATTTCATCTTTGATGAGTCAGAATGGTTCTCATCAAAAATTATCAAAGCTATGAAGCAAAGTTCGAATTGGTTTGATTAAACTACAGAATGTTCTTACCTTTGGTCTCCTTTATCAGATAATTCCCAGTACTTATCTGATTTCTCAATATGAGAGATATGACTCAGTAGCTTCTCGTGACTTGGTGTGAAATATGGAAGCTCAAAGGGATATGAATCCTTTGTTTGGATAAACAGAAGCCTGAAGAATTCCCTAGCTTCAGGACTATCTTGCATGAGAAGCTTAACCTTGGACTGTATCTTAGACTTCAAAGCTAGGAAGTCTTGTTCTGAAGTATCCTTGTGTAACCAGTGATGATTCAGACCCATGAAGAGCATTAGGATAAGACTGTAGTCCCTACATTCTCCGGTGAATGAACTGAGTATCTGCTCCCAGCAGAGTTTGTTTAGACCGGCTAAACCCTTTGGTGGGTTAAATTTTACGGCTACTTCTTTAGACATTGGGTGTATTAAACGTATTTATTAAAATCTCCAGTTTCAGGACCTTTATATCATATAGGGGTTTTGGGGTTTTGGGGTTTTGGGG